AAGACATTAAAGCCACAAAGAGCTTTACGTACCTTGGTAATGTAGTTCATAACTCTGGGCTGTCAGACCAAGAAGTCAGCAGACGGATTGGCCTGGCAGCAGGGGTCATGAACTCTCTCGACAATAATATTGGAGATGCCAGTTCCTGTGCAGAAGGACCAAGCTACAGGTATTCAAGGCCAGTTTTGTTTACTGTTGTGAAACCTGGACATTTTTCTGAACCTTGGAGTCTCGTCTTGATGCCTTTTGTAATAGGTTCGTGCGCCGGATTAGGGTACTGTTGGCGGGACCACGTGTCCAACCAACGGTTGCACGTGAGACTGGCACAGGACCTATTTACCAGCACAATCTGTGATTACCAACTCAGGCTATACGGCCTCCTGGCTCACTTCCCACAGGATGATCCAGTTGTCCCACACAGCCATATATATATATAATATATATAATATATATTATAATTATATATATATATATATATATATATATAAATATATATGTTTCTCTCTCTCTCTTTCTCTCTTTCTATCCTTTCTCTTCTTTCTCTCTTTCTTTTCTCTCTTTCTTTCTCTTTCCCTCCCTTTCCCCCCCCCTCCCCTCCTCCCTCCCCTCCCCATTCTCCTTTTCCTTCTCCCCTCTCTTCCTCTTACATTCTCTCAATGAACCATATCCACTGGAAATGTCAATAAATTAAAATATGTATTCTGTTACAGGCAGGATGAAAGAAATTGGCTGGTTAACACCAGCTTTGCTGCTGCTCCTGTGTTCAGGACCAGCGGTAGTAGTAGCTGCATGGGGACAAAGCAGTGACAGTGTCACCTGAAGGATGTGGAAGTACTGACCTTGTATGCAGGAAAATGACAAATGGTGAGTAGATTGCATTTTATTTGCCAATTTACTCCTTTTTTTACAGGATGAGGGTGCTTTTCATTCCTTAGCAGGAAAAGGCAACTTCAATATATTAGCTATCAGTTTTAGCTGCAAGAAGCAAGAATAACCTTATGTTAGTACTGATATTAACTGCCAAAAATGAATTCTTGACTATATATCCCATCCCCCCTTTCGGAATATCATGCAATAACTTAGCTTGATATAGTCAACTCATGGAAATAATAATGATCATAATAATGCTAATGATATTAGTATTCATGATGATACTAATTATCATAATAGTAATAATAATGATGATAATGATAATAATAATAAAGTAATAGTATAATGATAATGATAATATTAATATTAACAATTATGATGATGATGATGATAGTAGGCATGATAATAATAATAGTACTATTAATGATAATGATATTAATGATTGATGATAATGGTAGAAAAGTATTTGTTTTCCTTTTCTGGACCACAGCTTCTGTGTAAATACAGATATGTGTAAAGCAATACTTGATTTATACAGGGCGACGGTCGTCACCAGTCCCTCAGCTGGAGTGTATTAGAGGGGGAACAGCTCCATGTGATGCTTTTAATCCTCGTGTTGTCCAGTGTTATAACGAGGCTTTGATGGCGTAGATGTACAGTGGGAATGCAAAACTGATATGGATAATGCTTTCAGGTAAAATATGTATTTTTTTTTTTTCTTGTGTTTTTTGGTTTATAGAACTTCTCAATTCTGGCTTCATTTATTTAAGTTTTTGGCTCTTTAACTGTGTTATTTACTGAATTAATATCTTCTAGGTTTGGTAATATTGAAGTTCCTGTGAGGGCTACAACAACAGAGATGATCCTTATGTGTTGAAAGGTTCCTGCGGATTAAGATATTCCCTTGATTACACCAAAGAGGGACTTAATAACCAGAAAAGACGCATAACTATTATCCAAACCAGAATCAGCACAGTGGCAGCAATTATGGCTGGTCTTATCAGAACCAGGGAAGGAAAAACTGTCAAGTGCAAGTTACTTTGCAGACTTGATTGTATATGTAGCCATTGGACTTATGTGTTATGCATTTTACAAGACGTGCATTGGTCCAACCGTCAACAAGGACAAGATGCCTACAGCACAACAAATAATGATTATCCTGCTGGAGGCGGAGGTGGAGGATATGGTTGGTTTGGTGGAAACACCCACCCCACAGCTCCACCTCCTCCTGCTGGTTTTCACCAGGGTACACTGATGATGCCTCATGTCACAGGAACCGGACAGGTCATGGAGGTAATGGTGGAGGCTTTTGGACAGGGGCTGTTACAGGTGGATTACTTGGCTACATGTTTGGTAACCGAGGTGGTCAACAGAATTATGCGAACAGAGGGGGAGGATGGGGTAGTGGGGGAAGTGGCTTTTCTGGTGGAGGTGGCTTCTCGGTGGATTTGGGGTGGTGGTCCATGGCACCCGAACAGCCTCAGGCTTTGGTGGAACAAGCCGTAGGTAGATATTGCCCTTTGTGTTCATGTGACATTTTTGTTTTTCATGTTTATTTCGGATAGATGTAAGTTACATTATCTCTCAGATTAATTAGATCAAAAATATGTTGGATTATTTAATGTGATTATCAACTTTTTGAGTGTTGATTGATGCTGCTGTAATATGTGACTTTTTATACTTGTAATGCATATGTGTGTATAATGAAGAGCACTTGATTAGTAACACCATCTAACATGTTTTTGTTGTTTTGAATAAACAAAAAATGAAAGAAGTTTGTATTTGGATCTCAGGTTGCATGAATGTGATTTATTTACTTCTTTAATAGTTCTACCTAGGAAATATATTTTGACTTTTGTAAGAGAAACTGGAAGAAGGTATATCCATTATATCAAAGTCAGCTAAGTGAAAATGAAAAAAAAATATTGAGATTTCATTACTCCCAACTTACACCTTAAAAAAAAAAAAAAATTGTAAAGCAGATTTCACATACAAGATATCTAATTTTGCATGAGATGTAACCCACTTACACTGAAATGATGTACTATGATGTCCTAACATGTCATGGTAGACTATTTTCTGTATGGGGATGACGTATTCATGTTATTTATAATGAAGTCTGCTCTAAGTTATGCCCACTATAGACGTGTGCTTGTTTGGCCTGATGTATTTACCCCATAAAAATAAGATTGAAGCCTCTTTTTAGCCTTATCAAAAAACAAAATTATAGTCACAATCAAGAGCATAGAAAGTGGATTAATTTTGTTTCCCTTGTTTCTGATTTTGCCTTTGAGTAGCTGACACTGCATGTAACCTGATGCTTTATTTATTATGGCACTGGAGATTATATACTTTGCTGAATGTAGGTATTCATGAATGTTATTCTGGAGAAGTAAAAATATCAGACCAAGATATCAGCTGTTCAGAAGAAAGGAAGAAACATATATACTTTTTTGTTACCAAGATTTTTTTGTGTGATTACTTTGATGTATGTTTAAGTATGCTTTGGACTTTGTTTCAGGCTACTAAAGCTTTACTCTGGTACATGTGATTTGTTCTTTAGGTTCTTTTGTATGTGCAAGGCTTTCTGATTAGTTTCTGATGTCTTTGCTTCACAAATTAGTTCATTATATTTGAAAGTATGTGACACACTATACCAATTCCTTTCCAGTTAACTGTTCAATGATGTTTCAAATATACCACAAGATTTTGGAACTTCTCACCTATTAGTGAACTCCTTTTCATATATTAGATTTTTTTTTTTTTTTTTACCGACACCTAGTTATAGGCTCAACAGGCGAGATGCTGGTAAAAACCCTTTTTGTTTAGCTTATTTAATTCTTTGTTTATTTTTTCAAGGTAAAAGAGAAGTTGGATAACCCAGTATAACTGTACATATATTTTTTTTTAGTAATTATATTGGATATTCCTCTCTATTTTGACTTTTCATCTAAATGGAAAAAATGATCAAACACTTGTATGTATTTTTTTTTTTTTTTGTAGTTTAATATAATATGGGAATTGGAAGTTTAACTTAGCTTTTTAGAGAGAAAGCAAGAAAGGTGCTGTTTTACAAAGGTGTTTTATTCAAGCACGCATTATGGTATGTCTTATTAAGAATGAAACTTATTTATCTGGTTTGTAAAAGGGATTTTGTAAATAAAGTAATAAAAAGATGAATTTGCATATTTTTCCTTGTAAAAAAAAAAAAAAAAAAAAATCCTTGTTTTAAAACTAGAGCTAGCATCCCAGTTTCCTTGCTGTACTGACATATTGAGATGCAAATTTTGAACTTTATATAAATTTACACTACATGACAAAATATTATGGTTTACTTTCCTATGGTCCAAATATAATCAAATCAGCATTAATTGTAGTTAAAAAATGCATCTTCCCTCTCTTGCCCACATTTTCAAATTGTGGATGTACATTTTTTATTGAAAAAGAAAGGTTCTAGGTAATTAGTACACTATGAAAAGCTGGTGAACTAGTAAAATAAAGAACCTGCTTTCTTTACTCAAACTGTGAGACTAGAAAAATATTTCACAGAACAATGATAAGATTCATATTTTGGCTAATTAAGAAATTTCTAAAGCAATTTCTGTTTCTTTATTTTAAATGTATATAATACATACATACATACATACACACACAACACACACAACACACACACACACACACACCACACACACACACACACACACACACACACACACATCACACACACACACACACACACACACACACACGAACACACACACACACACGAACACACACACACACACGAACACACACACACAGAACGAAACACACACCACACACGAACACACACACACACACACAACACACACAACACACACGAACACACACACACACACGAACACACACACACACACGAACACACACACACACGGACGGACACACACACACACACTTGCATACAAGTTATGGGAACATATCTGAAAGAAAAAAAAAAAAAAACTAGTGGATAATGAGTATATATAGACATATGTATATATATGCAATTTCAGCATCAACGTAGTTAAAATGATTAAGAAAATATTAACATTTAGAATGAGTAATGGACAAGGTTTACAAGAAAGATATATACCTATAGGCATAATAGGGTAGATTTTTCAGAAATTTTAGTCAGACATCTGCATAAAGGGATTAAGTGGAAACACATAATGCCCAGAAAATTATATACAGTGCTTCTCAATGAAGAGGTTCTGTATTCATTGTAAATCACTTTGTATAGTTGCTACAAATAATAATGATACAGTCATATAAAAGGAAACACAGCCATAGTATGAATGTTTTTGAGTGTAATGTTTGAAATTGTCAATAGTTCCTTATCAGACAAATAACAAAAAAATATCCCTTTCGGTCGATCGTCTGGTGAGGGACTCTTGACAAGTTTGATAAGTTAATTTCAGAATTACATAATTTGCAATCTTATTCCAGTAACCAACCTCCCTTTTAGTACTCATATCCAGCTAGTTTATAAATAAATTCATATATTGTTTTCCACCTAACATGTTTATTTGTAGTTTGATACATTTTCTTAAAATATATCAATAAATAAAATGTGCAAATAATATACTTCAGCAATAAAAGATACATAAAATAAAACACTTCATTTATATAAAAATCATTCAGTCCAGGGAACCTTATGATAATCAATGTTAAAATATATAAATATATATCCTTTATAGCGAATTTTACAAGATCATCTATAATTTTTAGAAGAACAAGCTGAGAAAATAAGGAAACAAAAGCAGAAAGAAAAAAAGGGAACAGAAATAAAAAAATAAAAAAGGACACATTTACAAAATCAAATTCACATCTCCATTTCTATTTGTACTCTGATTCTTATTACCAAAAGATTAACTTCACAGCCTCAGCTCCTAGTTCACATTCTCTCACATTGCACACATAGGCTCAATGACGAAAGTACAGAAGTTAGGATCCAAAATGACAATAAAATTACAGCATTATCCCAAAATCTGACCAATCGCTGCCACAATCACTGCTATTTCAGTCATCACTCAGTTCCTCTTCATCACTAAAGTAGGAGGACTGCTTTATCTTCGCTCGATGAACCCCTGGCTCGCATTTGGAATATTCTCCAGCTGCAAGTCTACTTTGGAATTCTTCTGCTTCTCTTAGTTCTTGCTGTAAATGGAAGAAGTATCGTGAGTCATTCATATATCTAATGAGCAGAATACTTTCTCAAATAAATGTTTGTCTTCGGATAATTATTCTATTTGCTGCCAACCTTATACAGTTTAACCAATACACACACACACACACACACACACACACACACACACCACACACACACACACACACAACACACACACCACACACACACACACACACACACACACATACAACACACACACACACACACACATATATACACACACACACATACACACACACACACACATATATACACACACACACACGCAAGCACACACACACACATAGAAAACTACTATGGAAATTAGATAGGAGTGAAAGGCAAACTCCTCAAATGGATGAAAGACTTTCTTCATGAAAGACATATGAACACAGTAATTAGAGGGAAGCATTCTACAAGGCAACGAGTAACCAGCAGAGTTCCTCAAGGATCAGTCTTGGTGTAGATTATCTTTACTATTTTTGTCAATGACTTGGCATCGAACAAAAGCCCAGGTAGTTATCTGAATATGTTTGCAGACAACACGAAAATATGAAAACTGATAACTGACAATGCCTCATGCCAATGCCTCCAAAGAAACATCAAGAATTTATTCATATTGAATTGTACTTGGAAAATGGAATTCAACACCAGTAAATGCCACGTAGTTTGATTTAGAGAAAGTAGAAATCACCCACTGTTCCAATACAAATTAGGAGATGCAATATCAAACACAGCTGACAGGGAAAAAGACTTTGGGGTAATCATAAACATAAACCTAAGCCTAAATGATCAAAAAATGAAAAGGTCTATAAAATGATAAGACTGATTGCCAAAATGAGGAGGGCATTTGTGCATGTGGACAAAGGTATTGTAAAGATCATTATAGTAATCTTACAACCTAATCTAGGTACAGTGCAGTGGTATGGAGTCCACACTCAAAAAGCGATATAGACAAACTGGAGAGAGTTCAAAAAGCGGCCAGAAGATCGGCACCTACTCTAAGAGATATGACCTACGAAGATAGAGTATAGAAATTAGGACTTACTACTTTGGAAGAAAGAAAGAAAATGGGGGACATGATTATGCTGTTCAACTACATTACCAGAAGAGTGAAGTTAAACAAAGGAGACTTGATAATCTTGAACACAAGAAGGGCAAGAGGATACAATAAACAGTTGAAAGTAAAAAGAGGCAATAAAGATGTCAAAAATTCAGTTTCTCAAGCAGAACTATTGAATCATGGAACAGTCTTCCAAAAAACTGTGTACCAAAAATGTGCATCAATTTAAAAAGTTGTACAACAAACTAAATACAGTAGACAGGACCATCTGAGCTTAGCTCTTTTCCTGTATTGAAACAACTAGGTAAGTACACACATACACAATCACAAACACAAACAAACAAACAAAGAAACACACACACACACACAACCACACACACCACACACAACACACACACACACACACACACACACACACACACACCACACACACACTCACACACACACTAAAAAAAGTTCAGGTAAAACACCCATGATCAAGGGCTCTCTGTTTAGCTTTTAACATTGTACCAATGTTCACATAAATCTATATCAATACCTGCCTGTTATCACAGCATTACCTAACGGTTATATCACTTATGTTGTATTCCTATATTTCACGTGCTTTATATCTTGTACTAACAATTGACGCTAACTTATAAATTTCTCCCCCGTAGCCCTTCAATATAAACAGGGAATGATCAAAGAAAGATCACTTTCAAGTAATTAAATTTAGAGAGCTAGAATTTAAGGGAACCTCTGATAAGGAAGGAAAATGAAATACTTTCTTATATGACTGATATTTAACAAAAAACTTAAAAGCCTAAATAACAATAATAATAATAACAATAATAATAATAATAATAATAATAATAATAATAATAATAATAATAATAATAAGAAGAAGAAGAAGAAAAAAAAGAAAAGGAAGAAAGAAAAGAAAAGAAAAGGAAAGGAAAGAAAAAAAGAAAGAAAGAAAAAAAAAAAAAAAAAAAAAAAAAAAAAAAAAAAAAATAAATATATATATATATATATATATATATATATATATATTATATATATATATATATATATATATATATATATATATACACACCTGGAAAAAAAAAGTATTTCAGGAACATTTTTATAAAAGAGCTAAAAAATTCTTACTTGATATCTGATTGCTTCACTGAGTGAGTCTTCTTCAAACTTTGGTTCTTCATCCTCATCCTCTTCTGCATCTTCATCCTCATACTTAGTATTCTTGAGCTTGGTCTCGTCCTGGAAATCACCTCTTCGCTTCTTTGGTTTCTTCTTAGGAGGTTCTCTATCTCCAAGCAGATTTTTAGGGCAACAGTAACTCAAATGGCCATAATCTCCACATTCATAACACCTGATTAAAAAACAATTACCAGTTAATGATGAGTTCCCTTAAAAATGGACAGTAAGCATAACTATCATTGGAAAGGAAAATAAAACAAACTTTTGAACTCATTTATGTAAAGCCAATATAATATTACATTTCCTTCCATTGATAATGGACATTTGTGAGTGTGGAGCCATTATGAACAAACCTTGACTTGTCTGGATATTCTCTCCGCCTGATGAATTCAGGAGCTCGACCATTATCTTTTGCAATGCTTGCTTTGAGTGTTCGGCCAAACATTTCTTTTCCATCAGTTCCTTTAACACATGCATGGGCCCCTTCACGAGACAGATATAAAACAAAGGCAACTCCACGGCTCTTTCTGGTTTCACGGTCCCGAAGGATGGTCACTCTTGCATACAGGAAAGGTATTTAGTTTGATTAAATTATAAAATAGTATAAAATTCAAGAAACATTCGACCATTGTTACAGTGAAATATTTTTGTATATATTACAGTATCTATATATGTATATTCACTTAAAACTAAACTATTTCTGCAGTCAATATATAATATATTGCAAAGCTACGAAGAGTAAATAGATAAATTACTTTGTGTGTGTGTGGGGGGGGGGGTGCGTCTATGATGTGTGCATGTGTATCTTCGTGTGCGCATTGCATGTGTGTTCATGTGTGTGCTGTGTTTTGTGCAAATGTGTGCAAATGTGTGTCAAATGGGTGTGTGTGTGTGATGTCTGTGTGTATGTGTCAATGTGTATGTGTGTGTGTGTGTGTGTGGTGTGTGTGTATGTGTGTGTATGTGTGTGTGTGTGTGTGTGTTGTGTGTGTGTGTGTGTGTGTGTGTGTGTGTGTGTGTGTGTGTGTGTGTGTGTGTGTGTGTGTGGATGTGTGTGTGTGGATGTTGTGTGTGGATGTGTGTGTGTGGATGTTTGTGTGTGTGTGATTGTGTGTGGATGTGTGTGGGATGTTTGTGTGTGGATGTTTGTTGTGTGGATGTGTGTGTTTGGATGTGTGGTGAATGTGTGTGTGTGGATGTGTGTGTGTGGATGTGTGGGTATGGATGTGTGCAGAGTGTGTGTTTGGATGTGTTTGTTCGTGGATATGTTTGTGTGTAGATATGCGTGTGGATGTGTGCAGAGGTGTGTGGATGTGTTTATTCGTGGATATGTGTGTGTGTAGATATGCGTGTGCTGGATGTGTGTGTGTTTGTGAGATGTGTATATGTGAGTGTGTATATGTGGATGTGTATATGTGGATGTGTGCAGATGTGTTTGTGTGTGGAATGTGTGTGGATGTGTGTATCTGTGTGTGGATGGAGTGGTGATGTGTGTGTGTGGATGTGTTTGTGTGGATGTGTGTGTGTGTGTGGATGTGTGTGTGTGTGTGGATGTTTGTGTGTGGATGTTGTGTGTGGATGTTTGTGTGTGGATGTTTGTGTGTGGATGTGTGTGTGTGGATGTGTGTGTGTGGATGTGTGTGTGTGGATGTGTGTGTGTGGATGTGTGGGTGTGGATGTGTGTGTGTGTGGATGTGTGGTGTGTGGATGTGTGTGTGGATGTGTGGGATGGATGTGTGCAGAGGTGTGTGGATGTGTTTGTTCGTGGATATGTTGTGTGTTAGGTATGTGTGTGGATGTGTGTGTGTGTGGATGTGTATATGTGGATGTGTGCAGATGTGTTTGTGTGTGGATATGTGTGTGTGGATGTGTG